TTCAATTACTTGTTTTGTATTTCTCCACTGGTTCAAATTCAGTTTTTGTCTCAAATTGGAGTTAATTTCATCTAAAATAATTTTGCTCAATTTTCCTGATTCGCTTTTAGCGGTATTAATTAGCCGGCATTTTGGATTGTTTTCGAAATTTTCTTTGTGGTCTTTTAAAGATATAAATGCTTCTCGTTTTTCATTTTTTCAATTTTGTCGCGGATTCCTAAATTGTTCGAAATGTCTTTTAGTTCAGAGCCAATTTCATTTATAGTGTCCTCGGATACATGTTTATATGTTTTTGTAATGTTGTCATGTAAGAGCTTGTTGTATGTGTCGAGCGAGGCTTCATAAATATTTCTAGTTTTGTCTGCAAATATGAAAATGTTGGGAGATGAATTGATTTTCTTCAAATCGTTAGCCAAAAATTTTAGAAAATGGTTTTGCCCTGGTCGAAATTGTATATTTTCAATGAGTTTTATAAGGTCGGTTTCGAAAGGTTTCATTTCCGGAATTAAAGAAGGTGTTTTGTTGGACGCAAGGCGAAACGGTTGTTTTGGTTTTTATTGATACTGTTTTTATTAAAGAAATGAGCTTTCCATCTCATACTTTTTATTACACTTTCCACTTTTTCAATCAAATTCTTCAAATAAGCGTCCTGCGATGGTATAGGAATATCCTTTAATGAATAGTCAAATCGAAATTGTCGTATTATGAAGTTAGTAAGAAATGAAAAACGTAAACTAGAGTGCATGACCGATATACGGGTGCGAATATACGAGTAGGTTTGTGTATACGAAACACAAAGAGTGCTCAATATCATAAAGATAGAGCAAATGTAGAATTTCGCTTACCTCAAAATTCCGCAACAGTCTGTTTCATCAGTAAAGAATCATCAGGCGGTATGACAAGTTTCGAAAAATAGGGCTGCTTATATGTGTTTTGGCCGGAACGTGGGGGTGTGTGGGTGAAACAAAGCATGCATTCATCTATTGTTTGCGTTGTTTACGCGGAAATGCCTAATCGATAATATATATATATATATATATATATATATACATATATATATATATATATATATATATATATATATATATATATATATATATATATATATATATATATATATATATATATATATATACATATATTAAGATGAAAATGTTCTAGAGTGTGTATTATATAATTTCCATACCCAGCGCAAGCAGAAAGATGTTGTCTGCCGCGGCTGGGTCTTGAACCCGCGACCTGCGAATTACTAGATCGACGCTCTACCAACTGAGCTACACGGTCAGACGGATTTAAGACTGGAAATTATGAAATATATACTGAATGTCATAAACATACTCGTTTATATTAATTCAGCATCGAACAATACTAGTTCTGCAAGTGTTATGTTAGTTGTGTAATTGTACACTCTGTAATATGTTAAGATGAAAATGTTCTAGAGTGTGTATTAATACATAGAGGATATTTCACGGTGGCACGGAAATATGACTTTTATTTTCGAGTGGTGAAAACAATATTTTACGAACGAGCGCAGCGAGTGAGTAAAATATTGTTTTCAACACGAGAAAATAAAAGTCATATTTCCAAAGCCACCGTGAAATGTTCTTTTTATTATATGGATAAAAGTTGAAGCAAAAATAACAAAATGTATGACTTTATTAGTTTATTCAAGTTTTGTTTTTTGTTTTGTAGCTCACCGTACGGCAGCAATGTTTATGTCTCTCTCTCTCCGTTTGCTAATCGAGGCTAAATAGTCGCTGAAGATCGCCAAATAGGACTAATTAGTCTTCCTTTTTGTGTTTTCATTTTCTTTAGAAAACCTTGCCAAATCAGCGTCGAAAACATCAACAAAATGTCGAGAAGTTGCCATATTGATTATTCAGAACAGAAACGGCAAAATGGCGGGAATTAGCGTGGGTCTCGCGCGAGACGTTCCCGCGTAAGATATGATATCATATTTCACTATAGTGAAATACGGAAAATATCAGTGGCGTATTTTACGGTATTTTACTCATATCCATATAATAAACACTAATACACACTCTAGAACATTTTCATCTTAACATATTACAGAGTGTACAATTACACAACTAACATAACACTTGCAGAACTAGTATTGTTCGATGCTGAATTAATATAAACGATTATGTTTATGACATTCAGTATATATTTCATAATTTCCAGTCTTAAATCCGTCTGACCGTGTAGCTCAGTAGGTAGAGCGTCGATCTAGTAATTCGAAGGTCGCGGGTTCAAGACCCAGCCGCGGCAGACAACATCTTTCTGCTTGCGCTGGGTATGGAAATTGTATCATACACACTCTAGAACATTTTCATCTTAATATATATATATATATATATATATATATATATATATATATATATATATATATATATATATATATATATATATATATATATATATATATATAAAAAGTTGCAACCTATGCCTCCAAGAGAAACTCGAAATTTTGAAAGGTGATAAGAAAAGATTACTGAACAGGAGATGTGAGCTTTTCTCGAAGTGTTGCCACCGGAAACAATTCTTGGCGGGAAAATTTGAACGTGCGCACGCAATACCATCACGCAAGTAGCCTAACGAACTCGCACGTAATCATACAGGAATTTTTTTATTGAGATTTAAACATTGTCGCCTGAAGATCGCATTGAGCGTGAAACTCAGAGTTGTGACTATATTTTAAGTTAAGAAATTAAATTACATATATATATATATATATATATATATATATATATATATATATATATATATATATATATATATATATATATATATATATATATATATATATATATATATATATATATATATAATCCAGGCATATTATAATTAATTAAAGTTCTCCGGATTGAAATATACTTTTATTGAGCTTTCGACTCGGTACTTCAAAGCCTTCTTCAGAATACTGAGATTAAAATTACATATGTACATTACTTAATTAAAGTTTTGCGGTGTTGCTACGTTCCTGTATACGTTGAGACCGTCTAAGGGACTGGTCATTATTTATGGCGGGGGGTGGCACCGAAGAGAAAAGGGTTGGGTAAACTAAATTTTGAGTAACTAAAAGGTTGGGTAAATGAAAAACAAAACAACTCAAGGGTTGGGTAATAAAAAGTTATTGTCATTTCCAAAGCATGACTCACTTAAATATTGGAGACTGAAAAGCAATGTCAACAGTCATATGTCAATACAATATGTAAAAATCAATCAATCAGAGTCACTATCTTGATAATTTTCCGATTTGTTGGGAGACAATGGTGTCTCCAAAGAAAGTACATGTACATACAACAACAAAGTTTAGTTATCAAACTTGCGTCACAGAAGTGGTAAAGGACATGTGTGACAACTGAATGGTATTCTTTTGTAAAGGTTTTGGCCAGGGGTGGGTATTTATTTTTTAATTGATATTTGAGGTTGGGTAATCAAATTTTTTGCTTTTTAATGGTTGGGTCAGCAAAATTTTTACCAGGAAAAACATTTCTCTTCGGTGCCACCCCCCACCATAAATAATGACCCGTCCCTAATTGGCTGTTCCGCGATTGACCTGATCTCATTGCTGGTTGAAGAATGCGTTGTCATGGTTGAATGAATTCCGCTGCTAGGGATGGCGTCATTGGAATGTTTGGATTGTTGTGTTGTGGATGTTGAAGGAAGTGTTATTTGGAAGTTAATATTAGTCATAGTATCGTTGTTCTTAGTGGGACATTTACATGTTGTTTTAAGTTGTAAGTAAACAGTGGGAATTTCAACGTGTCGGTTAATTGTATTACCGTCTATACTGTACCATGCCTCTTTAAATTCACGTGCGTGTTTTGTTTGTGCTCGTCCTAATAGTTCGGTTTCTGTCCAGTTGAAGGTATGGCAGTTGTCGTATGTGTGTGCTGCAGGTAGTGATTTATAATCGTATCGTTTTATGGCGTTTTTGTGTTCAGTAATACGTGTTTCAATTTTCTTCGAGGTTTGACCTATATGTATCGTTGTGGACAGTCTCTGCAAGGTATCATGTATATAGCATTTTTTCTTTGTTTTGATGCTGTTTTGTCTTTGTGTTTTGTGAAATATGACCTAAGTTTATGTGCCGGTTTGTGTGCTACGTCAATGTTGAAAGGTCGCAATAATCTGGCGGTCATTTCAGATGTACTGTTTATGTAAGGTAGAGTTATTCTTGTCCTTGATTGTTCAGGTTGTTCGTCAGGTATGTTACTCTGTTTTTTGTTACGTATTTTTGTTAGTATTTTGTTAACGAAGTTCCTAGTGTAGTTTTTTTTCATGAAAGTCGAGAATAGATATTTGCGTTCTGTTTGTTTAGCTTGTTCTGTGTTACAGTGCGTATCTATTCGGTTGAATAAGCTTCTTATACAGCTTATTTTGTGTTGAGTAGGGTGGTTGTTGTTAAAATTCAGTATTCGATCAGTGTGTGTTTTCTTACGGTAGACCTGTGTGTTAATCGTGCCGTCATCAGTTTTTGTTAACAAAATGTCAAGGAAAGCAAGTTGGTTGTTATCTTCTTCTTCTTTCGTGAATTTTATATTTTCTGTAGTATTGTTTATAGTATGTAAAATGTCGTCAGTCTTGTCTTTCTTAACTGTAGCAAGGACGTCGTCTACGTATCTGTTCCATGTTTTAACTGATATCGTTATTGTTAGTAACGGATCTCTTTTCTAGATCCTGCATCACTGCTTCAGCAAGGAAACTAGAAAGAGGAGATCCCATAGGTGTACCCGAAATTTGTCTGTAGTAAGAGTTTTGGAATGAGAATTCAGTGGAAAGACACAGATCAAGTAGTTCAATAATGTCGTGTTTGTCTAGTTTAGTTCTGG